TATTCTCTGGATTTCCCTTTGTTTTTCATTAAATGTATACAGACACTGGGCAGAAGATCTGAAGCTGAATTACAATGATGGGGATGTTGACATCTATGTTCTTGCATATCGCTGACACCTGTGCCAAATTAAGAAAATTGGCAGTAATTGATTATTCTCACAGGAGGGTATTAGTAAGAGTTAAGCTCTGTCACAAACTGTCCTTTCTTCATCTACTGCCTGAGGATCATCTCAGCTGTTTAGTCTCTCATGGGACAGGAAATTGATTCCCTCTTTTTTTTTAAACTCCACAGGTCAGCCCAACCCCAGGGTGCATCCGTGCACTAATGAAGATGTTGTACTGCCCTTACTGCAGAGGACTTCCCACTGTGAAATCTTGCAACAACTACTGCCTCAATGTAATGAAGGGCTGCCTAGCAAATCAGGCCGATTTGGACACTGAGTGGAATCTTTTCATAGGTAAGAGGCGTTTAAATAATTGGTGAAACAAGGAGTGGTGCTTTGTGAGTAATTCAGAAAAATGCTATCACCAGCATTTACCATCCCGGAAAATGAAGCTTTAAGTCAAGCAGTAATTGAATCTCCTCTTACTTTTTAATCAAAGTTTCTGGCTTGTCATAAGAAATTACTGTTCCGCTCTAGAGCAGTTCTTATTAAGTATATAAAGGTGTTGTGTTGTGTGGTGCTGAGGTTTCTGAACTGAATTATTAGAGGATATGCAAAGCATTTTGAAAAAGTTTTGGTTAAGGATGTGATAGCAAGATTAACATGAGAGTGAGCGAAAAACTGTGTATTCACTATGTGCTTAAGGGGTGAGCACCTATTTGCAATGTCTATATATTCGAACAGAATAAACTACATCTCTGACATTTCTTAATTTCAGAACCATATGAGAAAAGAGCTTTTAAAAGTTAGAGTTGTGGCAAGTAAACTATTTGTTCAATGCTTTGATGTCTCCCTTGCAAAATGTAGAATGGAAAAATATTAAGTGCACAAATAGAATTTTAGAAGGATTAGGGTGAAAACCCCCACTATTTAAGGAAATGTGTTATTCCAGTTGAATCCGCATAATCTGTTAGAGGAGTGTGCTGGCCAACAACCAAGTGTCCCTAAAATTAAGGTAAAAATAAAAGGCCCCAGCTTTCAAAAGGCTAACATTTAACCTAAAAAATGATTTGAAAAAGTACATTTGATTTTCTTTAGTGCAAGCACACGATTATGAGTTAGGCAAAGCAAATAAGCAAGGCAAAGAATAGGTAGATATGTGCTCCGCTAATGATCTTTCATCAATCTCCAGAAGTCTACAATGGTTGGCTAGAAAACAATGGTCCTAAAGCAGAGAGACAATACCTAGGTAAACACATTTTGCCTCATTTTAAGCTGAACTCGATGGTATGAGTTTGAAATCTAGGCTCTGTCTCCAAATGGTTGAGTATACACACTCCATTCCACTTAGGAGAGATGGCATGAAAAGGGAGCGAGGAGAGAAAAACAGAGCAGGGAATAGGCAAAATGTTAAGAAAAACGTATTGAAAGGATAATCATAGAATCATAGAATAGAATCATAGAATACTAGGACTGGAAGGATAGTGATAGAGATGCAGCCGTGTTAGTCTGGTGTAGCTAAAACAAAAGACAGAATTATGTGGCAGGACCAAACACTGTCTAGACCATCCCTGATAAACATTTACCTAACCTACTCTTAAATATCTCCACAGATGGAATTTCCACAACCTTCCTGGGCAATTTATTCCAGTGTTTGACTACCCTGACAGTTAGGAACTTTTTCCTAATGTCCAACCCAAACCTCCCTTGCTGCAGTTTAAGCCCTTTGCTTCTTGTTCTATCCCCAGAGGCCAAGATATACAAGTTTTCTCCCTCTTCCTTATGACACCCTTTTAGATATCTGAAAACTGCTATCATGTCCCCCCTCAGTCTTCTCTTTTCTAAACTAAACAAATTCCCATTCCTTCAGTCTTCCTTCATAGGTCGTGTTCTCTAGACCTTTAATCATTCTTGTTGCTCTTCTCTGGACCCTCTCCAATTTCTTCACATCTTTCTTGAAATGCGGTGCCCAGAACTGAACACAGTACTCCAATTGAGGCCTAACCAGCGCAGAGTAGAGTGGAAGAATGACTTCTCGTGACTTGCTCACACACACCTGTTAATGCAACCCAGAATCATGTTTGCTTTCTTTGCAACAGCATCACACTGCTGACTCATATTCAGCTTGTGGTCCACTATGACCCCTAGATCCCTTTCTGCCATACTCCTTCCCAGACAGTCGCTTCCCATTCTGTATGCATGAAACTGATTGTTCCTTCCTAAGTGGAGCACTTTGCATTTGTCTTTATTAAACTTCATCCTGTTTACCTCAGACCATTTCTCCAATTTGTCCAGGTCATTTTGAATTATGAAACTATCCTCCAGATTAGTCGCAACCCCTCCCAACTTGGTATCATCTGCAAACTTAATAAGCGTACTTTCTACACCAATATTTAAATCATTGATGAAGATATTGAACAGAACCGGTTCCAGAACAGACCCCTGCAGAAGCCCACTTTTTATGCCTTTCCAGCCGGATTGTGAACCATTAATAAGCCAGTTATGCACCCACCTTATAGTAGCCCCATCTAAGTTGTATTTACCTAGTTTATTGATAAGAATATCACGTGAGACCGAATCAAACACCTTACTAAAGTTTAGGTATACCACATCCACCGCTTCTCCCTTATCCACAAGACACGTTACCCTATTAAAGAAAGCTATCCGATTGGTTTGACATGATTTGCTCTTTACTCAGGATTTTTGGTAACCTGAAAATCAGACACTTTTTGTGCTTGGGGAGAGATTTAGTGTTATTTCCTTCAATTGAAGCTTCCATTTTCTACTTAAAATAAAAAATGTCCTTGATTTTAAATTGAATTAATTATTTTTTTAAAAAATAATAAATCAGCACAATCACAAAGAGAGTTAAACTAAGAGCTGGAGTGGGTGGGGAGCAGGAATTTGACAAACTCAGAATAGTTCAGCAAGCTCCAAAAACCAATAGGCAAAGTTTCAAATTCTTGAATTCCACAAGATTGGTACCCTTTTAAAAAAAAGCAGCATGGCAGGAACTAAAGACGTGAGTGGGAAGAAAAGTTTTGAAATAGCTAAATGGCCTGAATATTACCTGGAAGATGCTGGGTAAACCGACAAAGCCTTGAGAGTTTTATCTTCTCCAACAAATTGATATGAATCACTTGGAAATGCACTCCTTATTGTAGTCAGTATTGCCCCCAAAGTATTTAATGTTTTTATCATTTTTAAAATCATGCCTCTTTTAGATTGAAGATAATGTTTTAATTACTGTACATACTCGTGAAAAAGAAGATCTGAAGGTAAACTTTTCTAGGACTGGATACAGGATATATTCTCTCTGTGTCTATTGCATTCATCTCAGTGAAGCAGGTAAGAAAATAGAGAGACGGATTTGGAAAAGGTTTTATCTCACTTTGTGAGACCATTGATAGCTTTGCTGAAGATGAAACTTCTTAGCCTTTGCTTTTTGTGGGACTGTAATGCAGTAAGTTGCCTCTGCCAGACGGCTGTCAGATGCTTTCTAATAGCACATGCAATTCCCTTAGTACTAAACAAAACAAAACTTCTACTCACTGAATTAAAACGAACAGCAGCATTTTACAGCACTGCTGAGCTATGAAAGATTGAAAAGAACGCATGAGTCATTTTTATACCTGTTGCCAATGTTAGCAACCCTGCAATAGGAAAAAAAATAATTTTGTGCATTAACAGTCTCTGCATGACCAGACATCCCTAATGTTTGTGCATATTCATGTACAAAAGTCCAGCTTTGCTCCCCTAGTAGTTTGCATGTTGTAAGGTCTTGCAACTGTTGATGGTTGGAGAAAGCTCTCCAATGTGTATGTGATCAAGTGGACATATTTTGTGCATGGAAGAGGATTTTCTAGCAATGTCCCACAGGTATTTTGATTAAGGGACATGTAAAAAATCCACAAATGAACAAAGGAATTGGGGTTTCCGACAAGAGGATATATTGCATGTTCCATCAAGCTTAAAAGTACAAAAGTTAAGGCAGAAATCATATTTTATATGGAAGAAATAAATCTTATATGTGCTTTAAAACATTGGAAGAGTGGGACAGTATTCCCCAAACATCTGATGCTTTCCAGAAGTTTATAGACTTGAAAATTAGTAAGAAGGGATGCAGCTGCAGCATCATGTAACACAGATTATATTACATGTTTCCTGTTTGTCACCTTGAGCAACAATTTATTGCAAGTTATTTTTTAAGAAAATATTACACAATAAGAGCCAGTCTTGCACTTTTTACTACAACAGAAATCCTGGAAAACTTAATGGGAGATTTTTCATGAGACAAGATTTAGTAAGGGACAAGAAGTTGTAGTCATGACTAAATAATCAAATAAATTCCATTTTCCTTTTGTCTAGAAAGATCTTGGGCTAAGAAGTCACTTTGAATTGTATCTGTCACATTAGCTTTTCAAATACTTCCTTGGAATACATTTGATTTTCATGATGTGCTAGTTATCAAGATTACCCAAACTCCCATGAATCGGGCCTGACAGGTGCATTATAAAGCTTGATTACATAGAGTAGATCAGGGGTGTCAAACAGTCTCTGGAACATGGCAAATTAATGTCCAATTGACTGGATATACACATATATCTACATCTTTCCCTCCGTACACAGAGAAGCTTCCTGCTATTATGAATGAAGTTTACACAGAGATCAAGGTATGCTGCTGGCCTCGAAGTACAGACCAAAGGTATATCCCAGAAGACGGAGGTGGCTACGAAATGCCTTTGTGGCTATGTCTACACTGCCAGCTTTTACCAGCAGAGAGTATGCAAATGTAGCACTGATTAGCATTTTGTTGTGCTTCATTTGTATAATCTATTCGAGCCGTTTTTTGCATAAGGGTTTATGCACAAAAACAAGCAGTGTAGACGTTTCCTTTTTGCACAAACCCCCCTTTTTGCGCAAGATCCTTATCCCTCTCCGCGCGACAAAATGCTAATCAGCACTTCATTTGTATACTCTCGGCTGGAAGCCAGCTGTGTAGACAAAGCCTGAGTGTTTAAGACTTGGCTACTCTGGGAACCAAGACAGACCTCAGCATAAATTGGAGCAACTGGGACATGCTCTAATTCTCAACAATTTCCCCAAGGGAAGTAACTATGGGGTTTATTTTTTTTACAGCTTGCAGTATCCCAGAACCACCATAGTGGGGTACTCTACAAAGATTCCTACTCCTAATATGTACCATCCCAGCCTTGGCCTGCAGCTTGTTAAGGAGCCAAATTTATTGTGTTAGATTGTCTCCAGATTCAGGAAGACTACACTGTCAATACTCAATTCATGTCTGAAGAGTTTTGTTCACAACCAACGAGGTCAGGGTTTGTTTTGGTTTTATA